GGGTAGCCTGAGGGAGAGGAATGAGACCCAAGATGATAAGAGGGGAAAAACAGAGCCATTTTGAACACCAAGTATGTGCCTAAGTTTCTTTCTCATTTTTTTTAAGAATTATTTTTTACTTAGCTTTATTTTCTTTATTTTTAATTTTGACAAGAGAGGGACAGAGTGAGTGAGAGAGAGAGGGAAAGCAAACCACCAGGTCCAGGACGCAAACTATGCTCGGCCACGTGGGAGTCCAGAGCCCTTAATCACCACGCCACCTGCCAGCCCCTGTGCCTAGGTTTCTAAGAGAGACAACAGAATCCTCAGTAGCTAGAGGCCAGCATAAGGTCACTGCTACCTAGAAAGAACCATGAAATGGGCACAGTGGACTTCACATTCTTTATAATTTTGCTTAACCCAGTGCAAGTAATAAATATCATGTTTTCTATTACAAACTCCCACTTCAGTGGACCATCACCCATCACCCGATAAAGCCACCAAGGTCCTGGGGCTTACTGCTGCCAACCTTCTCAACCCCTTTCTTGGCACTTAACATCCTTCATGTCCAAGCTACACTAAACTATCCATCTGATCTTGTGACCAGATCTTCACATATGCTCTCCCTAATGCGGGGATACCCTGTATTCTTTATCTTGCCTGTTTCCAACAAACAGTCGTCCAAAGCTGAATTTATGCATCACTAGCTCTGAGGTATCTCCCTGAATACCTCACTCTCAGGCCCATTGCAAAAATCCAACTTATTTGACAGTTCCTGCATATCCCAAAGCCTTCTGTATTGGAAGTATTGATTTGGTATCTTTCTCATTAACACTGTATTCCATTCACCCAGTATCTCTGATAGCTAGCACAGGGCCTGGTGAATTCAAGGAAGGCACTGGAATTCAAGCAAAATTTAAATCTAAACAAAATTAACTTTCATGGTTAGCATGTCCTGTAGAAAATTGCACCAGGCACTCTGCCTGCCTTCAGAGAATTTCCATCCAGAAGTTCTTCATGGGCATAGAAAGATGCTAGACATCTCTAATCATTAGGGAAATGGAAATCAAAACCACAATGAGATATCACCTCACTCCCAGTAGAATGGCTACAGGAAAAAAGAAAGAAAGTAAGTGTTGGTGAGGATGTGCAGAAATTGGGACCCTTGTACAGTGTTAGGGAGAAGAAAATGACACAGCCACTATGGAAAACAGGGTGGCTGCTTCTCAAAAAAAAAAAAAAAAAAAAGAAAAAGAAATAAAACTATATAGTTACCAAGTGACTCATCAATTCCACATCTGGATATACATTCAAAGAAGTTGAAAGAATCATTTCAAGGAGATAATTGCACACTCATGGGTACAGCATTATTCACTCCAGCTAAATGTAAAAACAACCCAAGTGTTCATTGACAAAGGAGGTAGACAGGTGACATGTGGTGTATATACACAATGGAATATTATTCAGCCTTAAAAAGTAAGGCATTTCTGGGAACCAGCAGTTAGCGTAATGGCTATGTCGCTGGACTCCCACGTAGTCGACTGCGGTTCGCGTCTCGGACCCGGTGGCTTAAAACTCACACCGGGCGCGTGTGCGTGCGTGCCCAAGATCCCGAGAGGAGAATGGAGGAGAAGGGATTGCGGCGTGACCATCCCCCCTGAGGGGTGATTTCTCGCTTTCTGTCTCTATGTCTCTGTCTGTCTGGCGAGCGCACGCGCCCTATAGCGAAAAACCTCTCCAAAAAAAAAAAAAAAAGTAAGGCATTTCTGACACCTACTACAATATAGATGATCTTTGAGGACATTATGCTAATGAAATAAACCAGCCACAAAAGAACAATGTGTGATTCTACTTGTATGAGGTACCTAGCGTAGATAAAAGCCTAGAGACAGAAAGTAGAACGGTGGTTGCAGGAAGTCAGGAGGCAATGGGGAGTTCATGTTTAATTAGTACACAGCTTGTTTTGCGTGATGCGAAAAATTCTGGAGATGATTGGTGGTAATGGGCATACAACAATACAAATGTACTTAACAACACTGATCTATACACTTAAAAATGGTTAAGGGGGTAAATTTTTGCTATGTGTATTCTACCAAAGTAAAATAATAAAGCCCTGTGCAAAGAATCGGAGAGCCTGAGTTGAATGAAACCCTAGTTGGGTGGTCATAACCACAGCTTCCTCTGCTGTAAAATGGGGCTAATTCCTAGAGTGTGAAGCCTGTAACCTTTGAGGTTCTATGTTACAGCTCTGTAACCTTTTCACATCATGTATGATATCTTGTGATGAGGGTTTATGCCTATGTGGTTAAAAGGCAGATAAGCTATTTTTGTTCCTGGAACACAAAGTATACACCAAGTATCTACAAAATAAGGACACTTCTCTGGGAAACTGTCTTGACATGAAAAGCCAACACTTATCACACCACACTCTGGGCACATCGGGGACGTCATTTACAAACGGAGGCCCATTTACACCGTGACGATGAATTCCCTCTGCTGCCGTCTAGCGTCTAATGACAATATTGACCTTTCCTAGCTGTCAAACTTGTCTTATTAAATCCTGAGGTCTTAACTGCTTTGCACACAGAGGCTGAGAGTTTGCCCACCCAAGCACGTGCTCATGTATAATTCATGGCGTATCATGTTGCCTGGCAAATGAATATTTATCAGTTTTTTCCTAAGGGACAGGATGGTGTTTCCTTTTGTTGCTACCAAAATTCTATGCTGCAGGAAATAAAATTTGTGAGCAAATGAAGAAGAGGAGGAGAAGGAGGAAGAGGAGGAAGAAGAAGAAGAAGAAGAGGGAGGAAGAGGAGCATCAGCTAAAACTCCCAACCAAGCTCATCCCACATGTAATTTTCCACTTCCTGAGACCTATAGTGTGCGTGGAGGTGGTTTTGGTTTGGCTACAAGAGAACTCCTGAGTCGTCCAGAATAGAAACATTTCCATATGCTGTGCCCTGCAGAAAACTCCCCCACACCTCACTTCAGTGCCATTTTCGACTGCAGAGGAGCCCAAGAACCTGTCAATGGTTCCATTCTAGACCCTCTGAATGGAGATCAAGTTTCAAAGGACCAGGTTTAAGGAGCTCCAAATGAAGATTAGCACAGTGTGATGTATGTCACCAACCAGGGAGCATTCCATGACTTTCAAAATAGCCTAGAACCCAGAGAGGACCGCCCTGCACTGCAGACTGCTAAATTGGATGTCCTCTTCTACAGTGAGTTAGAGGACACTGCCTTGTCTGCCAGAGGTGGCCTTTGCCCTGGTGCCTACTGCAGAGAAAAGACCTAAGCATTGTGAGTCTCTTGACACTGCTGGCCTTCTGACTCACTGACTGAGGACTGCAGGGCTGATAGTTCAGAGACACATGGGCATGCTCAGCTGGAGGCAAGGTTCATGGCTGTGAATACAAAGTCTGGGTGCTTTGGTCACCATCACCCTGGGCCTGAAACATGATGATGACGTTGGCAGTCAGGCTCCTATTGCTCATGATGTCATTGATGGTGATAGTGAGTAGATGGTGAGCTCTTACTGAGGATCAGGCCCTCTGTCAGTCAGCTACAGCAAGACATGTCATCCCAGAACACCCCACTGAGGTAGCCATTACTATGGTTCTCACTTGACAGATGAAGAAACTGAGGCAGAAATATAAGATAACTGACTGAAGTTCATGCAGCTCAGGCTGCGAGTCAAATTCAGGTCTGTTTGACCTTGAGGCTCACGCACTTTCAACTACCCTCCTATGGAATCAATAAGCTGGAGTTCAAGAAATAAATCCACAAATACTTGGATGTGTGGCCTTAAGAGAATTGCTTCCCCTCTAAGAGTCTGTTTTCTCATTTGTAAAAGGGTCATAACAGCACCTACTTTCGCAGGACTGCTTCAAGAAGGCAGTCGAGCTTTGCAAATTCTAAGCAGTTCTATCATCATTGATAAGCCCTCAGCCAGTCTCAGTGAAGACATTTATTGAGAGCTGGGCACCAGGAACCATGACAAGATTGCATAGTTTACAGTAGAGTTGGAGAAAGGATATACACACGGGCCAAAATGCAATTAGGTGTTGATATTCATTCATTCATTCAACAATATTTTATTTAGCACTTGCCTAAAGCCAGAAAACATGTAAAAGGTCTATGTAACGGCAGATAAGGATAACTGCTACACAAACATTAAAACAAGACATGTGGGACCAGTAGATGGTATAATGGTTATGTCGCTGGAATCCCACATAGTCAACTACAATTTCAAGTCCCAGACCCGGCAGCTTAAAACTCACAGTGAACACATGTGTGTGCATGCCCAAGATCCAAAGAAGAGAAAAGAGAAGGAATTATAACATGGACATCCCCCCAGGGGATGATTTCTCCCTTTCTGACTCTGTCTCTCTGATGAGTACATGTGCCATGCCCTATAGCAAAAAAAACTCTAAAAAGAAAAAAAAAAAGAAAAAGAAAAAGAAAAACAAGAGAGGTGATGGAAAATATCTCTAGATAGCAATATGATACCAAGATGATACCACCCATGCAAAGACTGGAGAGGTGAATGCTACTGGCAGAGGGAACAGCCAGTGCAAAGACCCTGAAGGGTGGACGTTCATCCTAATTCTCAAAGATGGAAGCCCTTGTGTAAACAATTCCCAAACATATTAGACCCTGATGGCCTCTTTTCAAAAACCATCTCTGAATGCTGGTGCCAAGTGGAACGCTCTTGGAAAATGACAACTTTTCACCTTGCTAGGGCCTTTTTAGGAGCCTCAAATACCTTCTTTTCATCACTCCATTCTTATTCTTTTCCTATACTTTCTTATGCAAGGTTTCAGATGAGCTGTTCTGAGATGGGTAGGGTCCCAGGTGACATTTTGGGGCTGGAGAAGGGGTCTGAGCCAGGCCTCATGCCACCCTCATTACTGCTCTTGGATCCCAGCTGGTGCAGACAGCCCTGAGGAACTCCAGAAGCTCATCAGAACTCAGTCAAAGCATTCAAGACCTCCAACCCCTCTTCATGCAGCATCTCATACCTTCCTCTCATCTATTCCCTCGGAGGCTGACGTGAGTTTCTTCAGGAGTGGAGGATCCAGGACCTGGAATCGCCGGCGGAACTGAGTGAGTCCCATGTGGTCAGCGTAGCCTTCGGATGGCACAAGGGAGCAGGCAGGAGAAGAAGACAAAATCCAAATGAGACGGCCCAGCCCAGTGTCTTATCCCTCCAGCCAGGGGTTCAGGTCCTGCTCCCAGCCTGGTTACTAACTTGCCATGGAGGCTCACTTCTCAGAGCCTCGGTTTCCCTGTTTGTCCATTTAAAAGACTGGATTTCATCAGCACCTCCCAAGTGTGTCCCCCAGAACAGAAACCCTATACAAGACTGGTCAAAAAGCTAGAGAAAGCTGCACACTCATCTGTCTTTTGGAAGGTCACAGTGCATAAGGTTACCCGAGTTTAAGGCTCTGAGAAGCTGTGCAGAGAGGATGTTTTGAGTTTCCCAAACCTGCTTGACCGTGGAAGCTCTTTTATCTAATACTTATTTCCATCCCACAGATATCACATGGAGGATGCTGCATTGGGTGCTATCTAAGGACTCTTTCAAGTCTTCCATGAGGGGTAGACATGGCTGCATCCTTGTGTGTGGGAACTGGGTACCTCTGAAAAGCCACCAAGTGAAAGTGACATTAGAGCCAGACTTGAAGGGACCGTAAGTTTTCCAGAAGGATTTGATATGAAGAAGTCGAAGCAGAGAGAGGAAAAAACACAGGACCTAAAGTGGGAAGATACAAGCCTTGCCTCGTAGTCATAGCAATGGTCCGCATTTACTGAGTGCTTGTATGTGCAAGATTCTAGGTATCGACTTCCTTTGATACAGACACTCCTGGGCCTGTAATACCGTACCACTTGAGGCCCAGAGAGGTAAATCCACTTAGCCACACAAAGTCACATAGATAGTAACTTAGTAGCTGTCCCAGGTGAGATTCAAACCCACACAGTGACAATAAATAACCCAGCAGAAAGCAACCAAAGATGAGCAGGGTCTAGGACCCAAAGGAATTTGAACTCCAAAGCCAAGCCTTCAGGGCTGAACTTCCTTCTTCCTGGGTACAAGAGGCAGGGTGGAGGTTCCATTGCCTCAGAAAGCCTCCTCGAAAGGATGGATCAGAGAAGGTCTGGGGAAATCTCACTCCGCTGGAGACTTCACAATAAACTGAATGCATCAACTGGTAACAGCAATTATGGGTGTGTGTGTCTAATCCAGAAAGGCTTCCTGGGGGAAAAGGAGGGTCTCAGGCCAGCTTTGAAGGATGCAGACAGCACACAGGCAGGGTACCAGGAGGTCACAAGCCTGGGCTTTTCTTTCAGATCAGACTTACCAGGGTTTGGATCTAATTTCTGCACTCATTAACCCCATGACTGGCACAGAGGATGCCGCATCTTTGAGATTCAATTTCTTCACTTGTCAGATAAGAATAGCGAGATTTATCCTCATCATCACTGTGTCATGGGGCTTCAACCTCATGACAATCATAGCAAAAGTGTGTGTTATTTGCTTTCCCACAACCCGCTGTCCTTCTAAACTTGATTGTCTTTTCGACTCACCCAACCTTGCAACAACTTTCTTGGTTATGACCTATTATAAGAGAGGAGAGACAGGCGTGCCCTCAGGACTGGCCTGGGGTCTCACACCTGATGAGAGGTGGCAGAGTCACACCCATCTCACACAGGAATCTGAACTGTCCCCACCAGGTGCTATGACAGGTATTGTTTACTGAGCATCTACTACACGCCAGGCACTACGCTGATGGCTCTGTGCAAACAACCTCATTTTATATATTTTATATATATATAAAATTCAGATTTTATATATATTTATAATTTTATAGATATAATTATATGTTATATATTATATGTATATACCATATATAATACATGCAATATATATTATATACAATATATACAAGCTCATTTTGTATATACTATATATATCATATATAGTGTATAGTCAGTGCTCAATAAATAGTTTACATGCATATGCATGTGTGTATAAGTATCCATATACATTTTTATTTATGTGTGCTATTTATGGGTGTATGTGTATATATTATACATGCACGAATTCAAAATCATAAATATTTGATGTGCAGATCTATGTGTGCATGTAAATATATCTTAACGTGGGTGTGAAAGAGACAGAAGTGACTTAGAATAGAAAACAAAGAGGAAACAACCAGGTCTGGGAGGCAGAAACTGGCATTCTACCATGAGACGTCAGCCCTTCGCTTAATTGGGGAGCGCGTCCTGGCTGACAATGCAGAGGGCAGACACCACGGTGAGGACAAGAGGCCTGAGGCAGGAGACGCCCTGCCCTGGGCATGCGCAGGGACTCTGATGGGCTGCCCATGGTCCACGGACCCTGCACAGGCCCCACGCTTCCTGCCAGCCAGCCGGGCAGAATCGATCAGCTGCGGAGGCCGGCTGAGTCACTGGCTGTGACCATCCCTCTCTTCCCCTGTGACATTATCTGTCTCCCTCTGCCTGTGGCTGTGCGGGCGGGAGGGGAAAATCAATGATGTGCTCAGGGGAGTGAGGGTCTCATCTTTGCTTCCAGCTACTCTCAGCTTCTCTGTCAAATACTCCATGCTCGGGGTTCCATTATTAACACAGTGGGGGGAATCTGAGGACAGAGACCACTAGCTGGGACATTAGTGACCGCAGACACATTAAGCAGATGAGTGCCCACCTGAGGCTCCTGCCAGCCCTGGCTACCCACCCTCTGCAGGGAGAATGGCTGCTTCTGATGCTTTCTAACCGTCAGGGAGGGAACTCAGCCGGGTGGCCCTCAGGGGCAGAAAAGAATGGGAATCCAACTCAATGCCAATGATTAGCTAATAGAGAGAACCTTCAGTGCATGTGTGCTTGCTAAAAAACAGGCTCAAATATTTCATTTCTTTGTTTAAAATCCCTTCATTCCCCAGCCACCCCAACATCCACCCCCGTTGGACCTGGTGCTTGCTAAATTCCCAAGAAAATCGATCACAGCCTTCCCTGGTGGATTTGTCTGTCTCACTTCCCATGATCCCCCATTTTTAAAGTTTATTTATTTATTTCTTCCATGAGTGAGAGAGACCCCTAGCCTGCAGCCAGACCGGGATCATGAGCAAGAGTGTGTGTGGCATACTCAGGGAGGTCTCGGAATTTGAACCAGGAACCTGTCCATGCAGGACTTCTTGCAGAGCATCGCAGCTCGCCCCTGTATCACTGCCTGGCCCTTCCCCATTGTCCTAAACCCCATGCCCTAAACCGGGCTCTCTTACACCTCCTGCCTTTATCTGTGCTGATCTTTGTGCCCAATGTCCCTGCTCCCTGATCCCTCAGAGGTGAGCTGCTCTTTGAGTTTCAAGTTCTGATTCACATGTTCTACCACCCAGGAGATTTCCCCCATCTCCCCAGTGACAATATGCATCTACTCCTCTGGACATCCAGGGACCTCCTGCATTCCTGTGTGATGTGTGCCCTTGTCACATTACATCCCTGTCCCCTGTGATCACACAGATCTCCACAGCAAGCTGAGCATCCTCATTGCCAAACTACTGCTCATCTTGGAAATCCCACTCTGTCCCAAGATGGATGCTCTTTGGGGATTCGTTGTTGGAAGGAAGATGAGTAAGACACAGGCCTTTTGCCTTCTAGGGAAGGACAAGTAATTCCAGAAACAAGACAGGCTTTCAACTCGAAGAGGCCTGGGTCCAAACCCAAGCTCTGCCAGGCCCCAGGAAAGTGGGTCCTTTTACCTGGCTGAGTTTCACTTGCTTTGTTTGTAAAAGGGGCAATTGCAGCTACTCCCTCACTGCGAGGGCAAACAGGACACTGCGTAAAGATCCTGGCACGTGGTAGATGATGTCCCTTCCCTCAGCTGGGTGGGCATGTCCCAGGGGCCAGAGACAAAATGCTGTGGGCTGAGCTGTCTCTTACCTGTCCTGTGCAGTCGCAGGGCCTCCAGGACATGGGACCCTGCGAGTTGGACCCTCAGTGCTGGGATGTCCACGGCCGGGGGCCCACCTGCCCCAGGCACATCCCCACCAGGCTGCGGTGGCGTCGGAGACCCTTGCCCACTCCTGCTCTCCACCACTGGGTTTGGCACGAGGCAGTGGATGAAGTGCAGCTGAGACCGTTGGATCACACTGGTCAGTGCATCCTAGGGCCAAGTAGAGAGGATGTCAGAACTAGCTGTCTCGAGGGAAGACAGACAGGGGCCTTTCACCTGGCCTGGACAACTCAGCAGGTCCTTGTGTCTCACGGCAAGAACCTCTCACCTATAGCCTATTTGCACTCATGAGAGATAGAGGGCCTTTATAGCAACCCATTGAAGCAGATGGGGAAACTGAGGCATGGAGCGGGCATGTGAGTGGGCCCAGGTCATACAGGCCATGAGGAGCTGGGACCAGATCTAGGCCAGAATCGTGTGCCATCAGTTTTGTTGTTGTTGTTTTCCAAAACATACCCTTCCTTCCCATGCCACAGCCCTTCTCCGGGCTCAGCCTGGCCATTGACAAATCAGTGGTTCTCATTTATTAGTGGGTTCATGTTTCCAGCCCAGGCACCATATTTATATCCGGCATTGGAGCCTGCTGTCTTTCCTAGGAAAGCCTTGAGGTGGGACAGGCAGATGGAACTAATCCCACCTCTGTCACCTGAACCAAGAGGGCACTCATGGGAAGGCCCCCAGGACTTTCAACTCGATATCAATTAGCTGAGGCTTCGACCTCAGACTGGGGTTGATCACTTCCCAGGCATGTAACCAGGACCAAGGTTCGGTACTGCTCAGAGCAGTACTTCCTCCTCTGTGGAGTGTGGGACAAGCCTGTCCTCCACACGTGCTGGAGGTTAGAGATGATGCAGGGAGAGGGCCGCCCTGGAGGAGGTGAGGGATGCGTGGCTGTGAAGGCCACAGGGCACCCACTCACCATCTGGAGCTTGATCTGGGAGCACGGGGCTTTCCTCTTCACTGCAGCAAAGCTGCTGGCGAACGTCCTCCTCACCACGCGGCTCCGGTGCAGGGCCTGCTGGGAGGTGCCCTCCATGCCGGCCACGGCCCGGCACACAGGGAGCAGCTTGGCCCGGGACTGGAACAGGCTTTGAAGGTCCTCCCTGGCAGATCAGAGGGAAGAGAGAAAAGGGGCTTCAGGGGGCTTTCGGGAAGACCTGGAGCAAAGGAATGAGCCCGTCTCTCTTTCCTCGACTCTGCTTCCTCATCCCACCCCTGAGTTCTGCCTCTCTGTGACCACTTTATTTTCAGTCCCTCTGGCTATTCAAGTCTTTGCTTCCTGATAAATGCTTCACCACTTCCTGGTTCTACACCCCTCTCTCAGCTTGAGCCCCAGGATCTCAGAGTGGGAGAGAAATCTTAAAGAGCACGAAACATGTGTTGGCCACCCTTCTATAAACCAGGCTCCTTAGGAAGCTGCCTGCTATGTCACATCGGCAAAACCTGGGATCAGACATCTAAGCGTGGGATCACCATTCCCACCGTGCAGATCATAAAGCTGAGGCCCAGGCACGGGGTTAGAAGGAAGTGAAAGATTGTGGCTCTGCACAGAATCATGTGGCTTAGGCAGCTTCTCTGTGATGGTGGAGGCTGTAAAGATGACTCACAAGTCCCTCTGGTGACAAGGGTCACCCTGGGACTTGATGCAGGCCCCTGGCTCCCCATTCAGTCCTCCGTGTGCTCATTAACCTTCCTTTTCTCCCAGTCCCATCTTGATGGCTCTTCAGGGGCTGCGTGCCCATGACCCCTCCTGCATCCAGAGTTTCCATTCAGCTCTGACCAGAATGTCCTTGGAACTTCCCCAAGGAGCGCAACTCAAATCACATCCTGGATCTGCCACATTTTGACTGTGTGATCAAAGATGGATCATTCTGGGGCTAGGAGGTGGTGTAGTGGTTAAGGTGCTGGACTCCCACATAGCCAACCATGGTTCAAGTCCCAGACTTGGTAGCTTGAAACTCACACCATGCGTGCCTAAAACCCCAAGAGGAGAATAGAGAAGGGATTGCGGGGGACTGTGGCCATCTCCACTGCAGAGTGATTTCTCACTTTCTGTCTCTTTGTCTCTCTGGTGAGTGCACACACCCTATAGCAAAAATCTCTCAAAAAAAAAAAATGACAGCCTCAGTTTTCTCATGTGTAAGACGGGGCTAAGGCATTGCAATAAAGATTAATAAGATACTTGAAAGTGTTTGTACTGAAGCAAGGCACATAGTAGGTCATCAGCAAATATTCCTGCCTTATCCTCATGCCCACCCGAGACACCAGCACCTAACTGGGGTGGAGGGGGGGTCTCTTCTTGTCTCCAAGATGGTGAGCCTGGGGTGTATGCACCAGTGCACACACGTGTGCACAGACATACGCACATTCCCAGAGGAAACAAGCATTTTCCAATAGCTCTCTGAACCGAACGCAGAGTCTGCGACTAGCCGCGAGCCAGCACTTCTGGACGAGCAGCCAGGGAATGCGGTGAGCTTCTTTTAATGCTGCAAAACGTATCATTTCAGTTTTACGACCCCCTTAGTTCTAGGATGTCCATAAAAGTTGTTCCAGTCACATCATTTCTCAGATACTTAATGAAAGGCAAAAAGCCAAAATAAGAAGTCACAGCTTTTTAACTTCCCCTCCGCCTCCCCAGAAAGCCAGCTTTTCTCCTCAGCTGGGTTCGCCCTGGCCCCAGGGAGACATTGTACCACTCCAGTTCCAGCTACGGTTCTTTGTTTCATTAGGGAGGGATGGGATTCCCGAACGGCCCTCACTCGCCTGGTGGTTGTGTCTGGGTAGTCCCAGTGGGGAGGCAACCATGGCACCTCCAATGCCCCTGCCCGACCCCCAGCCCGGCCTGGCTCACCTTTTCGACTGCTGCAGGACCTGTGGGGCATCCAGAGCTGAGAGGTTGGGTTTGGCTCTGTGGAGCCAGCCCGTGAGGTCGTAGCGCACGGGGTCATGCCCCAGCTGGTGGGAAATCTCACACTGCAGGGGCTGCTCGCAGGTCCGCAGGGCAGAGATCCCTGAAAGCAGACGTGGTGGCGTGAGTGTTGGGACTTGGTGGAGGCATTGTGCAATCACTTGGCACCCCCAGTGCCCTACTCCATTCTGTTGCTAATGAGAGAACATACCTGGGTCTGGGTATAAAAATAGAGGTTTATTTAGCTCACGGTGCAGAGGTCCTCTGGGGAGGGTCTTCTGGCTGCGTTACATATGGCAGAGGACAGGAGTGCGTGCCTCTGTACCTGGGTGTCTCTGCGCTAGGCTTCTTCCCTCTCCTCATAAGCCCAGGCTTCAGTCATCCCTCCCACCACAATCTTAATCCGAACCTGCTACCAGAGCCCCATCTTTCAACACCATTGTTGGATTATGTTTTCAGCCTCTCAGGCCCATTGCGACTGAATCTCAACATACACATTTGAGGGAGACACTTCCAAACGATAGCACCTAAGAACACACTTTTATTTTTATGTGCCTCCAGATTGCTAATGCTGACAGTGCAAGGGATCCCCACTTCTTCTGCTTTTGTGAATCTGTGCCTGCTATTTTCCAAGCGGATTCTATTCTTTCCTAATTTCTGAAATTCAGGATACCTACTTTTTTCTAAAGTGTCATAGAATACACACAGTCTTCATAATTTCTGCTATATATGTGTGTGTGTGTGTGTGTGTGTGTGTGTGTGGTATATATAATATACTATTACTATAATGTATTACACTTCTATGTATCCCCTTTAATGTGCTCTTTAAATCAACTCACATTGTTATTACAAGTACAGCCCTTTAAAAAGAAGCATTGTATTTCAGGTTTGATGTGCAAGCTGTATTTATTTTCTAATATGTATGGGAATAAATATATAACTGTTAAATATCTTTATAAAAAATGTTTTTCAATTGTCACCTAAAGTCACCTTGAATACCATCAAGCAAATAAATGCACAGCAGGGGCAGATGGTGGCATAGTGGTAAAACATGACACTCTGAGAGGCTGACCCACAGAGAACCTTGGGAAGGTTCCCAGTTCAAGTCCAGAGACCTCCTTGAGCACGCTGGACATGCATGTATTCACGACCCAAGGCTGGCTGAGCTTGAGGGTGGATTGTGGCATCGGGACCATGTGGGGGATGCAATATCTCTGCCTCTTATTCATGGAAGTAATAAAAATTTAAAATTAAAAAAAAAGACTTTTCTTTCAAATACTTTCTCTTAAGAAAAAAAGAAAATGCATAGCACACTCTTGGGAGAGGCTGGCACCCAGTTGATTGCTGGAGACAGGGTCAGAGAAAAAAATGGTACTGGCACTTGAAGTTCAGGGAGATGACGCAGCTTGGCTGGAGTTGCATGGCACGCTGCAATAGAGCCAGGGTGAGGGCACAGGACTGCTGGTCTCAGAGCTGGCTTCTGTCCAGGGTGCTGGCCCGGCCCAGGGAAACAGCTCCCAGGTTCCGGGCCTGCTCGTTCCCCTCCTTCATTCGTTTGGTTTTCACACTGCACTTCTGTTCATCAAAGATTTCATAAAGAAGCCTCTTATTTTCAGGAGCCCTTTTGAAACTCCTAGAAGACGGAAACTTATCCAGCATAAATATATTATGGTTTCAGCCTTTATCTTCTCTCCGGGAGCCTGAACCCCCAGACAGGGTCCCCCAGCCTTCTCGGGTCACCCCTGCAGTTGTACATGTCTGTCACCTGATTCCACTGGGCCTGGGCTCCCCCCACTGGGCCCACCAGGCTGGGAAGAGGGGATCCATGTAAGAACACTCAGCAAATATACCTTAGCTAAGGGTGAGAGGTCATAGACAGCAAGTGCTGGGCTAGCCAGAGTGCCCAGTGTTCTGGTTCACTGAATGTTCTCACTAAGTCACAGTTAATCAAAAAATCCAGACGAAAGAAAAAAAGGAATTTAACAGAAATATCTGTGTTAACATACATGTCTGTCTCAGACATTTCAGAACAAAGGATGTAATACAGTCCCCTGGGAGCTGACAGCCCTGTAGCATCCTGCTGCAGGCACCACTAGGGCTCATGGGTACAGAAGTGGGGAGCCACAGCCCAGCCAAGTCCCCTTCTGCCCCGGCCATGCCTTACAAACTGCCTTAAGCTTACAACTCTCCTTTCTGGCCCTTTTGCTGAAAAGTAGGGATCCAGAAAACCTCTCATTTGAGGATGGCTTTTGATTTGGCCCTGGGTCACTGGGTGTGCACGTAGTCACCTACGCTGTGTGAAGCACTCCTTCATGCCAGTGCTGCCTGGTGCCAGCTCTGCAGAGCTGACCAGCCCAGCCCTGCCTCCTGGATCTGGCATTCCCCTCTGCCTATGAGCAAGTAGGTGATGTCCAGGGGTGACCACCACAATACAGAAGAGGAAGGCAGGGGACAGAGACAGCAGTGTGGGCAGGGAGGGGTGTTATTTCACACAAGGTGGTCAGAGAGGCCCCGAGTGCTGAAGAAGGTGAGGGAGCGTGTCATGCTGGAAATGTGGTGGAAGAGCATTCTAAGCGTAAGGAACTGCTGATGTGAGGGCCCTGAGGTGGGATTGGACTGTGTGTTTGAGGAGCAGCAAAGAGAATGGTGCGTTTGGAACAGGAGAGGGGAAGGAGAAACGGCAGCTATTCCTGGAGGGCTTGCTATGTTCAGGGCACAGGTGAGACGGATGTGAACAAGACGGGGTGCACCCCTCCCGGGGGGGGCTCAGGGTAACTGGGGAGAATGACAACAAGTGAGCAAAGCAAATAAATAGCCAGAAGATTGCAGAGCCTAGAAAGGACTTTGGAGGAGATGAAGAGGGAGCCATGACGGGGCAGGGACCTGCCCAGGCTCCGGCTTCATGCAGAACTCCAGGAAAGTCTCTGAGAGCATGACGTGTTAGCAGCAGCTGAAGGAGGATGTAGAGATGCTTCTTTACACACATCAGCTCGTCAGTCCTCACAACAGCCCGCCGAGGTAGATTTTAACCATTATCCCCACTTTACAGAGTCACACACATTGCGATTCAGTGGAAGAGCAGAGTAAGCCCAGGTCTCTGTGGTCCAATGCTTGAGCTTTCATCACTCTACCTCTTGGCTTTTTAATTTGTTTTTAATCTGAGTGAGGTTTCCTCCTAAACTCTACTTCTGAGCCCATGATATGTGGAGACAGGGGCCACTTTGACAGCCTGGAAGGGGTCGGGGGTCTGCCTGGCCTTTGGACCTCAGTTACATGGGATCAGCATGGCTCTGTGCTTGGATCCACCTGGGAAACCGCCCGGTCTCTGCAAGGCTTTGGGTCACCTCACTCTAGGTAGGATTTAGTGAAGTGCACAGTAGCTGGCCCTAAGGGTTTCAACAGAGAGCGGCTTCCTCCACCCCTTCGTCCCCCTTGGAGTCAGTCTTTGCCAAGGTCAAGTCAAATGCAGAACCCCTCCAGGGTGAGAACGGTCCAGGGCTGCATTATGACTTTTCCAGGCCCTGGATACTTCTGCTCTCACAGCCCCTTCCTCCATAAATATGCATATACATAGATGCAGGTTGGGCATTTCTAATCCAAAGATTCAAAATCCAAAATGTTCTAAAATCTGAAACTTTTCAAAGGCCAAGGCGATACCCACATGTGGAAAATCCCATATGTGACAGGTATAGTCAAAACACTAAAATAGAGGGGCCAGCAGGTGGTATGGAGGTTAAGATGCTGGACCCCACGTAGCCAATGCTATGGTTCAAGTCCTGCACCCTGTGGCTTGAAAATCATACCAGGTGCATGTGTGTGCATGCCCAAAATCCCGAAAGGAGGATGAAGAAGGAGGGACTGTAGCATGCCACCTCCCCTGGGGGGTGATTTCTCACTTTCTCTTTCTCTCCAACCCTCCCCACCCCCAGCCAATGAGTACACTCACTCTATCACAAAGCCAAACAAAAAAGAAACCACTAAAATACAAAAATATTGTATAAAATTATCTTCAGGCTATGTGATATAGTATATATGAAACATATGGGAATTTTATAATTAGAGTTTGGTCCCATCCCCCAAGATCTCTTCATGTAGATGCAAATATTCCAAAATCTGAAACACTTCTGGTTCCAAACATTTTAGATAAGGGATACTCAACATGTGTGTGCATGTGTATAACTGGGTTGGTATAAAGGAAAATTGATAAATACTATTTTTTGAGAGATTTTTGCTATAGGGCATATGTGCTCACCAGAGAAACAGAGACAAAAAGTGACAAATCACCCAGGGAGGATGGCCATGCTGTAATCCTTTCTCCTCCATTCTCCTCTCAAGATTTTGGGCATGCACGCACACATGCCCGGCATGAGTTTTAAGCCTTCGGATCCAAGACTCGAACTGTGGTCAACCATGTGGGAATCCAGCAACATAACCATTACACCATTTGCTGGTCCCATAGATTAATATTATTAATGTATTACATATGAGTGTGTGTATGTATATGTGTATAAATATGTATATTTAAACATGGTCTTTGTCTAAAAGTTCTTTTTTTCTCTTCTGCTTTAACAGGAATTAAAATGTTTTCATGACCCTCAGCCTGTGTCTCTTCTGCCCGGCAGAGAAGCCAGCCTGAGTCAGGCACCTGCAGGTCGGAGTTCCCTGGAAATCATTCAGAATCTCCTCTCCAGAGACAGCTGTTGCAGCCATCAGATGCACTGCTCCTGCCGAGAAAACATTGTCCTGGGCCAGCTGGTGCATGATGGTTAAGGCAGTGGATCCCACATGGCTGGCTGCATATTTGAGTACCAGACCCAATGACTTGAAAATCGTGTACAAGTGTGCCCCAAATCGTGAGAAGCTGGGGGTTGAGGGGTTAATTCTCACTTTTGCTTTCTCTGTATTTCTCTCTCTACCTCTTTCCAGTGAGTGCATACACTCTGTGGCAAATTTTTTTTAAAAGAAAATCTTCTCATGTGAGCACAGAAATCTACCCTGAGAGTCCTAGACAGAGGACTGTGACTGTCACCACAGGATGAAGCTTCTACCCAGGTAGCCTAGCAGATAGTGGGTCCTCTCCTGATTTCTCATAAACCCCTCTGGGTAGACATTCATCCTGAACAGTCCATCAGGATGATGCTGGTCTAGGTCGCCAATGACCTCCCCCTGGCCAAGTCAACAGTCATTCGTCAGCCCACCCCTCGCCTGACCTGTGAGCAGCATTAACATGGGCAGTCTCTCCTTCCTTCTGTGGCTTCAAGGGTGACGTGTTCTCTAGACATCCCTCCTACCTTCCTGGCCATGCTTCCTCAGCCTCCTGTGATGTTTGTGTGCCTTGTCCATGACCTTTTGACATTGGACTGTCCCAGGCTGAGCTCTTGGGCATCTTCTCTGCCACATTGCTTTCTCTTAGTAACCTCAAACAGAATCATGGAATTTCATCTTCTTCTTACCAACTGATGCACTTTGTTATTCATCTGTCCTGCTCGAATGTCAGTCTAATGGGGGTAAAGGTGTTTATTTTGCTCACTGATATGTCTCCTGGGCTGAGACAGTGGCTGCCACATATTAGATGCTCCCTAAATATTTGCTGAATGAACAGATGAGTGAATGAGCCCACTTCCTGGTCACAGAAGCCAGTTAGAACTGACAAGATCTCCAAGTATATTTGCCTTCTTAAATGCCTGGTGGCATGAGGATCACAAGAGTTTTAAATCCGAATGAACCTTGTTTAGAAGCTGTCTTCTGACACTCCTCCTCTGAGTGACCTTAGACAAGCATCTCAACCTCTAGGGAGTTCAATTTCCCTGCTTTGTGGATAAGAATTTCTATCTCAGATGTGTGTCAGAATCCGACAAGCTGATGTGCAGAAAGCCCTGAGCACGCTGTCCAGCATGGAGTACACGTGACATTTCTTCAACCCCTGAGATGACGGGATAACAGTCTTCACTGCCATCGACATCCTGGTCCCGACCAGCAAAATGGCACCTCTGTGTACACGTAATCTCTCTAGCCATTGTAGCAGAAATTCTAGAGACAGGAGGGTCAGGGGTGTCTCTTTTCTATTTTCCAAGTACCTCAAATGTGACTATGAGGTTTGCAGCCTCACAAAGGGAAAGTAAGATGGTCAGACTTGAACTTGGGGCTGCTGGGTGCCAAATCCCATGGTCTGGTAGTTCCAGTTTGATGTCTCAGTCTCCCCCTCTTGCTTCGCCCTCTCTCCAACCCCACCTATCAGCAAATGTTGTAGACTTCACCTGCTAGAGGCCTCCGGAGTCTGTCAACCTCCCCAGAGCAGGTCAGCTCCTCTCCCACCTACCTGCTACCTAATCTGCACACGGTGTCTCCACACTACAGCCTGGGTGAACTTCCTAGAGCAGGAATCTCACCTTACCTCCCACCGCCTAAAATCCTTCATGCTCTAGGATAAAGACCAGCATTTCTCCATGGTCCTCACTGCCCTCCATGGTCTGAGCCCCAGTGACACCCATTGTGTCCTGCATCACGTTCCCTGCTCCCTGCTAGATCTATCTGCATGCAACTCCGCTGGCTACCACAGAAACTGCCCTGCCTAGGGATGTCTCATTCTCATTCTCTGTACATACGCACGTGCTTGCCTGGGGGCTCGTCCATTCTCTCTCCCCATCAAGTCCACAGGACACATCAGGCTGGCTCACTGCTATATGGAACAACACCCAGCACACGGTAGCTGCTTGATGCCTATGTTGAATAAGTAAACGGGGACCAGCAGGTGGCATGGTGGTTAAGCCACTGGACTCCCCACATGGTTGACTGATGTTCAAGTCCTGGACCTAGTGGCTGGAACTCACAGGGTGCATGTGCATGTGTGTCTAAAATCCTGAGAGGAAAATGGAGGAGAAGGGATTGTGGCATGGCCATCCCCCCTGGGAGTGATTTCTCTCTTTCTGTTTTTCTGTCCTCCATAGTGAGTACATATGCCCTATAGCCAAAATCTCTCTCTCAAAAAAAAAAAAAAGGAATACATGAATGAATGAACACCTACATGAATGAAAGCACACACTGGCCCATGCACATAAATGTCTGGACTTGAGGCCACTGTGCAGGCCTTGTTGGGGCTTTTCCTGCAGCTGACAAGGACAGATTCCAAAACCCAGGCTAACCTCAGTCCTTGCCCTCTCTCACACCCCCTCACTCTCTTACCTCCAGCCTCGGCTCCTTTCTTCTCAAAGGCTGCACGCAGACGCTCGAGCACCACACTGTCGCTGGAGCCCTCTACACGGACTTCCTCGTCCAAGACCCAGAACAGGCCCTTGGCATCCTCAGCACCTCCTCCAGCTGATAAGCAGACCTGGAGGGAGACCCAGGACACACTAAGGGGCTGTGATCCCCACCAGACACCAGTCCTAGGGACTGGGGGAAGACCGAGTCCCAGACATCAGGACTTAGAACATGCCTGCCTGGAGCTGTGCGCCTATTCACAGCCTGACTCTTGGTACTGAAGCCACAAATCAGTAACAACCTCTTGGTTGCCAGGGCTCCAAATCTGCCTCTATCCTTACCTCCTATTGACCTTAGGCAGCTTACCACACCCCTCTGAGCCTCATTGCCTCCTGCATTAAATAGGGACTGGAAATACCTTCCTCAGAAGGCTGCAGTGATTTAACAAGGTGATGGGCTGACCTTGTGGCCTAGTGGTTACAGGAGCCAGATCTCACATGGCCAATTGCAGTTTGAGTCCCAGCCCTGGTAGCTTAAAAAACACAGCAGGTGCATGTGTGTGCACACCCGAATTTCCAACAGAAAGGAAGAAAGGAGAGACGGAATTGTGACATGATCAGGCCCCATTGTGGGGTCCTTTCTCTCTATCCCTCCCACCTCATCCTTCTCTGGAAAGTGCTGTGCCCTCTGGCAATCAACACACACACACACACACACACACACACACACACAAGAGGATGCCCTCTATAAATTGCACTCTTCTAAATGCACATAGGCAGCTGGTCTATTCGTGCAGAACCAAATATGAAAGGATAAATTCCCTCCACATGACTTCCTCTGAGAAGTCTTCGTATTTTTTTAAACTCAGATTTTTTGAGGGGAAAAATGTACTCAAAGAACATTTCAGAGGAGAAGGTGAATTTGGTTCAATAGCACAGACACGGAATTTTAAATCTAGCCAGGAGCTTCACAGACCATCTAGGCAACCCTGCAATTTTGCATATGGGGAAACTAAGAGAGACTTGGGAAGTTTAAGGGATTTATTTGAGGATCTGTAAGGAGATGACACAACCAAAAATAGCAGTAAGTGGTTACAGAGGAAATGGAATACGTACAGTGACCAACCATCCCAGCGTGCCCGAGACCTAGGGGCTTCCCGAGACATGAAGATTTCAGTATTCAATCCAGAGAAGTCCTATGTAAACCAGGATGGTGGGTCACCCTAACTGGGAAATATTGGTCTACACCTCTCGGAGGCCTAGACCAGGGAAGGGACATCTCCAGGGCTGCACGTAGAGTCAAGGAACAGAGCTAGAACTGGGCCTTCCTGATGGGGTTAAAATCAATTGCTATCCATCCTCAGAAGGTAGCCATTTGCAGCCACATCCCAGTGGCCTTGGGGACTAGACCAGCCTTCCCAACCAACACTGCTGAGTCATCCCATCCCACCTCTTCCAAAGAGAGGTGCACGCAGGTGAGGAAGCTCGGTGGGGAGGGGAACAAGCCAGAGAGATGCCGACAAGAAGCACACACGGCACCCAGCCAGCAAGGCTTAGAGATGGGGGAGGGGCTTTTCTTTTCTTTTCTTTTTTTGTTTTTTTGGGGGGTTTTTTGGGTTTTTTTTTTTTTTTTTTGTTTTGAGGGCGGAGAGATTTTTGTTATAGGGTGTGTCCACTCACCAGACAGACAGAAAGAGAAAGAGAGAAATCACCCTCCCGGGGAGATGGCCATGCCACAACCCTTCTCCTCCATTCTCCTCTCAGGATTTTAGACCTGCACATACATACGCCCATCACGAGTTTTAAATCGCCAGGTCCAGGACTCGAACCGCAGTCGACAACACGGGAGTCAAGTGACGTAACCATTATGCCACCTGTTGGTCCCAAGAACAGGGGGCTTTTCAATGACAGCCACAGCATAGGGAGGGCCAAGAGAAAGCCACTGCTGCTCAACAGGCACCAAGGAAGGAGGGAAAGGGCTTCCCGTGGTGTTGAATGGCAGAAGAAACACCGCAGGCCAGTGCCAGGTGCCGAGCACCATGCCAAGTGCCTGTGGGAGATATTCCCTTGACATCCATGACACCCCAGGGGAAATTATCATTCCCATCTTGGAGATCGGAAAACAGAGGCTGAAGTGACAGGCTCCCAAGGTCCCTGAGATTCAACTCCAGCCTGGCAGGTTCTAAGCCTACAGATTTTCACACCAAAATGTGAAGGGGGCAAGAGTGTCCAGTGAAACGGTCAAGGAGGGTTCTGGAGTAAGGTTGGGCAGAGGTGCAAGTCTGGGATCAGCAAAGAGGTTCTCAAAATAGGGGTAGTGAGGTAAATACTCAGGTATACCCCAAACTAAAGCCTGTCTGTCCCCAAGGGAGGTCATGGGCCTGGACACACCATCCCCTGTTCCCCATTCCCAAAGGACTCTAGTCTCTGCTGGACACAACATTATCATCAGAACCAAACACCTGATCTTTCCAGGTGAGAGCTGTCGGAGGCCACAGGGCAAGGTCTCCCATCAGCCCAGCCCACAGGCCCCTGCTCTTAAGTCCATTCTAGGTTTCGGGCATAAAGCAGAGCAGTGTCTTTCTGCCCAGTCTTTCCAGCCACACTCACAGACCAACAGACATAGAGGCCAGGGGTGGATCCAGGCAGGAGTGTTTCTAGCAAGCCCTGGGTGATTCTAGGAACGGATGGTGTTGAGAACTGCCAGCTCAGAGACTCACATCTGTTGATAGTTCAATAAAAAGGCCACATGGCATCTGAGAGCCTTGGTTTGACAGATCCCGTCTTACCTGGGAGGGTATCTGGTCCATGACAGCCACGGTGGTCGCTGGGGAAGATTCTGGGAGGTCAAAGTGCACAGGAACACCTTCCTGGAAAATAATAGGATTTAGAAGTTAGCTCCTTTGGGGAGGTGAGAGGGGCAGAAAGCTTTTGAAGGAGGAAAAAGGAAGGACATCTACCATCATTCGGCCTATAAAACAATAATTTGGGGACTAGCTCCACAGTCTAGTAGGTAGAGGAGTAGGACCCCACATGATTGGTGGAACAGTTTGAATCCTGCCTCTGGCAGCTTGAGAGACACTCCGGATACCCAAGCATGCATGTGCCAAATTCCAACAGGATGGAGAAATGGAGGGGAAGGGAATGTGGTGTAACCGTACCCCTTTGAGGGGATCTCTCTCTCTCTCTCTCTCTCTCTCTCTCTCTCACACACACACACACACACCAACGGTATACACTCTGATTTTTTTAATAACCTATTTTCCTTAATTGTGGTAACACACGCATATCATACACTTTACCATCTTGACCCTTCTGACGTGCATGGATCAGTGGTATTAGGTGTATTCGTCCTCCTGTGCTACCGTCCAGCCCTACCCATTTCCAGAACTTTTCCATTTGGTGAGACCAAAACTCTATATCCATTAAACAACAGCTCGTTCACTCCTCCCCACCGGCCCCAGAAATCACTATTGTCCTTTCTGTCTCTATGACTTTGACTCTTCTAAGTACCCCCGGCGAGAGAAATCAGACAAGATTAGCCCTTTCATGACTGGCTATTTCACTTAGTATAATGCTCTCGAAGTGCATCTAGGTGGTAGCAGGTGTCAGAATGCCCTTCCTTCTTCATACTGAGTCACTTTCCAGCATACGTAGGTTGCACATTTTTCTTCTCTCCACTGATGGACATTTTGATTACTTTCACCTTTTAGCTATTGTGACTAATGCTGCTACGGACGTGGGTGTTCAAATAGTTCTTCAAGACTCTTGCTTTCAATTCTTTGGGGGGGGGAGGTATACCTAGAAGAGGAATTTCTGGACCCAGCGGTAATATTATTCTTGATTTTTTTTAGGAACTACCTTACTGTCTTAAATCGTGATTGTACTAGTTCAGATCAGAAGAGCTGTCCCAGCAACCCAGAGATTTGTGAGCAATTACCAAAGGTTTTTTCTGCAGCTACTATATTTGGGGGCAGTTTAGTACGCATGCTTACTGTGGCAAAGGACTGGTGCAGGTATGTAACTGTATCTATCTTATATGTGAAGAGAAAATCATACGTTACACCACAGGAGAGCAGGCGTTTCCATTTCTAACCAACACTTGCTATTTTCTGGAATATGTACATGTTGTGTATCATTTTTTTCTTTGTCCGTTTTGATAGCAGCCATCCTAATAGGTATGAGGTATTGTCTCATTGTGGGCTTTTTGTTTTGTTTTGTTGGGTTTTGAGAGAATTTTGCTATAGGGTGTGTATGCTTGCCAAAGCAACAGAGAGACAGAAAGCAAGAAATCACCCCCCCACACACCCCAGGGGATATGGCCACACCACAATCCCCTTTCCTCCATCCTCCTCTTGGGATTTTGGGCACACATGCTCAGAGTGAGTCTCAAGGTGCCAGGTCCAGGACTTGGCAAGAGACTTATCAGGACTGATAATTCATCACAACTTCTTAAATATGTACTGAGGACCTCGCAAGTGCCAGGCTGAGTGCTCACTGCTGGAAGGAATAAGTGTAAACTAGCTAACAATAGTTGCCATTGAAAGTAACTAGAAACAGGACCAGCAGGTGGCATGGAGTTTAAAGTGCTGGGATCCCATATGACTGATTCTATGCTTCAAGTCCTGGACTCGGCAACTTGAAAATCACACTGGGCGTGTGTACATGCATGTCCATGATCCCAAGAGGAGAATGGAGAAGGAATTGTGACATGGGCATCCCCCTTAGATAGGGATTTTTTTTTCTCACTTTCTTTTTTTTCCTCTCTCTGGCAAGTGTACACACCCTATAGCAAAAAATAAAAGTAAGTAAGTAAATAACTGGAACCATCTAGATGAGGCTGTGCACAAGGGTCTCCATCACAGCGTCATCTATAATAGCTTAAACTTGGAAACTACCCGGATGCCCAAAGGAGAGTTAACGTAGGATGAGACATCATCATTGCATGACTGCCTAGACGCACAAACAGAGTGAGGGAATATAAAATAAAGAGTGAGAAAAAGAGCAGACCACAAAGTCGTATGCATGGGAGGATAGGACATCTCTAAAGAAGGCAACGTATGGGGGAGTCGGATGGCAGCCCAGTGGTAAAACACGGTGCCCTGTGAGTCCGATACACATGGGAAGGTTCTCGGTTCACATCCTGAGGCCTCCCACGGTGCGCCTCTCATGCATACCCACTAGTTAGGGCTGGTTGAAGCTGAGAGCAGAGCATGGCATCAATTTTTTGAGTTCTCTCTCTCTCGCTCACTCACTCACAGAAGAAATTAATAAATATATGAAGAAACGATTGGTATAGAATACAGAAAGCAGTAAGAGTGATTGCCTCTGAGTGATGGGGCTAGAGAAAATTGTGTTTTCTTCTTCTTTATACTTAAATGCACTTTCCTGTTTTTTTAATAAAGACATGTATTACTTTGATAATCAGCAATAAGTAAAATAGAGGGGGAAATATGATAGTTGCTACCCTATACTGAATACCTAATACAGACTAGACAATTACATTAAATGTTCCTTTAGGGGGTGTGCTAAAAAATAATTTTTGAAATAACCCCAATTCTCTACTCCTCCCTGTATCCATGCTCGTTACAGACCAACGTTACAGCTTCTTCATCAAGAAGTAGAGCCTGTTTCTCAACCTCTGGGATCTGTGTGCAGCCTTGGACTTGCTGTGACTGATCGAATACAGCAGGAGTTGGCTCTGTGCCAGCTCCAAGCCTCCACCTCCAAGCGTCCATTATGCTTCTGCCCCCATCTTGGAACCCTGCCCAGCACATTGAGATCAGCTGGGGCTAGCTTCTCGGTGGATGAGACATTCATGGAGCAGAGATTAGGTTGTCCCAGCCAAGACCCACCTAGGTCAGCTTATGGCCAGCTGACTCCCCAGGTAGACAGGAGAGCCAGCCAAGATCAGCAGAGCCACTGACCCAACCTACACCTGACTCGAGCACAAGAACTATCCCAGTCCAAACCAGAGGAGCTGCCTCGCCTTCCCAGAGACTTGCAAACAATTACCAAACATCTCTTTCTTTCTTTCTTTTCTTTTTTCTTTTTCTTTTTCTTTTCTTTTCTTTTTTCTTTTTCTTTTCTTTTCTTTTTTTTTTTTTTTTTTTTTTTTTTTTTTTTTTTTTTTTTTTTTTTTTTTTTTAGAGAGAGAGATTTTTTGCTATAGGGTGCATGTACTTGCCAGAGAGACAGAAAGTATGAAATCACACCCCAAGAGTGATGGCCACACCACAATTCCTTCTCCTCCATTCTCCTCTCGGGATTTTGGGCACACACGCACATATGCCTGGTGTGAGCTTTAAGACACCAGGTCCAGGACTCAAACCACAGTCGACTACATGGGAGTCTAGCAATGCAACCATTATGCCATCTGCTGGTCCCACCAAAAGTTTCTTTGAAGCCACAATACTGTGGCAACGGATAATGGATGGAGGAGTAGGAGTATCTCTATTTTGCATGTGAAGAAATTAAGGGTTAGGGAGGATTAGTGAGTTTCCACATAGCCCATAAGTGATAGAATCAGGATCAGATGTCAGGTCTCATCAACATCATTGGTTTGAGATTTATCCAGGTTGATGCTTTCATTTCATTTTTACTGCCTACAGGCTCCAACAACAAAAAGAAATGGCCACGGTTTCAATATCTATTGATGAACCATATGGTCATTTCAAATATTTTGCCATTAGCCCTTGCTGGAGTTAAAGCAGTCCCCTTGAGGGAAGAAAGATAGGGAGTAGATAGGGAGGAGGGTGCATCTGGGTCACTGGCTGTTTTCTCATTTCTGCTGGGGTGATAAATGCATGTATTCATTCAGATAAATGCATGAGCTATATACTTCGGATTTGTGCACTCTGCTGCATTGCTGTGTCTGAATGTTTCATCTCCAAAATTCGAGTGTTGAAACTGATGGCTAATGTGAAAATATTAAGGGGTTAGGCCTGTAAGATGTGGTTAAATCATGCTGGCTCCTTTTATAAGAGATGAGGCCTTGATAAAAGAAGTTTCACGCAGCATTTGGCTCTCTTCGGCCTTCTCCCGTGGGAGGACACGTGTTCCTCCCATCCAAGGAAGGCGCCATCTTGGAAGCAGAGAGAAGCCCCTCTTGTTCAACCTAACCTGCCAGTGCCTTGATCCTGGACTTCTCAGACTGCAGAACTCTGATAAATCATTGTTATTCTCTATAAATTACCCAGTCTCAGGTACCTTATTAAAAGCAACACAAAATAAACTAAGACATATGTAAATGTCATATTCCAATTTAAAAATTCCAAGTTAAACTTTTTTTTTTCTTTAATGAGAAAGAAAGGGCTAGCAAGAATGTGCCCGTATGTGCTTCTTGGTATGTACACACAGAGTTTGACTAAGGTGGCTCCAAAGAGGAATTCAAGTGTACCTCTTTGGCTTTGTTGGAAATTGCCAGGTTGCACCCCAGAGGGCTATGTAATCCACTGTTCCCGCCCAACAGAAGAGTGAGGGCCTTACACATTGGGGAAGATGCAGGCTAACCCTTAGAGGGAAGATTTAGCTAGGGTGAAGTAGGAGAGGAGGAAGAAGCCACTCCAAAGTGGGGGCAGTGGGGCCAGCACATGGCATAATGGTCAAGGCGCTAGACTCCCACATATTCAATCACGGTTCGAGTCCTGGACCTTGAAATTCATGCCAGGCACATGAACATGTATGCCCACCCAAAATCCCAAGGAGAGATGAAGAGGGGATTGTGGCATGGCCATTCCCTCTGTGGGGTAGGGAAGATTTCTTACTTTCTATCCTCTGTCTCTCTGTCTCTCTGGCAAGTGCATGCACACTATAGCAAAAATCTCTTAAAAAAAAAAAATGAAGGGCAGCCATGGAGCAAGGACCGGGGTGGCCCAGGTGACAAGTGGCCTGCTGTATCTGTACTGTAGAGAGGAGGAGGTAATGGATGGAGACTGGGCTGCAGTGAGGGGACAGGGACTGAAGCTGGACCAGCCCTAAGTGAGGGCTTTGTTCCGTGGTGAACCAAATAGGGTGACACCGAAGCCTGCCGGAGGCTGGAAATCCCACCCCGCCTGGCCGAGCCCTGGAGAGGCCCTGCGCTAGCCCAACCATACCTCTCGGTACCTCTCCAGCGTGGAGACGAAGGTCCGCTGATAGAACAGCAGCTGCAAACGCTCATGGACGTAATTGTGGCACAGCTCCTCGAAGGTGGCTGCCCGCTCCTTGCCCTGGTGCCGGGGGTTTTGAAAGCCTGGAGTGTCCACCACCATGATGGAAGCCATGGAGAGATGGTGGGATGATAAGGATCTAGGGAGAGAAGAGAGAGGCCTTGAGAGGATGTGGAATATGAAGTCCACTAGTCCAGGCTTCCCACTCCCTGTGACAGAGAGAGAAACTGAGGCAGCATGCCCAGTGGGTTTGGAGATCCAGCAGATCTGGTTTCAAAGCCCAGATCGACAGTACATGCTGTGCAGCTTTGAGCAAGTGCCTTAACCTCTCTGAGCATGGGTTTCTCCAACTGTTAAATAATGATGAGGACTTGGGTGAGTAGGATGATCCCAAGGGCTTCAATAAAATCTAAACTCATTAAAGTGTAGAAATTGCCTCCCATGATGCATGAACACGGCTTATTTTCAGGAAACGTGACTTCTTTACCAGACCCAGAATGGAGAAATGATTGGCTTAAAGTCTTCCGGTAAATTGGCTACAAAGTTAACACTAGAGATTCCTTTTCTTTCCCCAGTGACACACTGAAATTTAAAAAATAAAAAACCATTTAGCACATCAGTTTACAAAGTTATTTCACGCTATTGCCACTTCGATGAATCTGTTGGGATGGACACACATATTCACATCCAGATGCGAATAAGACAAATGAGGGAACCAGTCATGTGTGGTCTTGAGCCGACAGCCTATAAGGAAGGGGCTGTGTGTCTTGGGAGAGTTGCCCCACCTCTCTGAGCCTCAGCCACCTCCTCCATGTAAGAGCTAATGATGGAGGGGCCAGCAGGTGGCATGGTGGTTACAGCACTAGATTCTCACATGGTTGACTGTGGTTCAAGTCCCAGACCCAGTGCTTGAAAAGCACACCAGGTATGTGTGCATGTGGGCCCAAAATACTGAGAGGTGAATGGAGTAAAAGGGATTGTGGCATGGCCATGCCCTCTAGGGGGTGATTTCTCACTTCTCCTCTCTCTGTATCTATTTTTCTCTCTCCAGCAAGTACATGCACCCTATAGCAAAAACCTTAAAAAGGACTTTGGGAGGACAGGATGTGACAGGGCATCCTCTCTGTGGGTGGGGAGTGTGCTGGGTAGCAAGTGCTCAGTCAATGCAACCTCTACTGTCATCGCTAGTGCAATCAGCTGTTAGCTTTGGGGGCCCTGAGTTTGAACTTCGGCTCTTCTGTTACTTGCTGAATCTTTCCATTTATAAAACAGATGGGAATCCAGATGTCTACCAGTGCTCCTAAATGGTGTGTGGGGCAGGAGGAGGTGGCTCACGTGGTTAAGGGAGCCAGATCCCACATGGCTGGCCACACAGTTCAAATCCCAGCCCTGATAGCTTGAAAAACACACCAGGCATGTGTGCATGCCCCAAATCCAGATGGGATGGAGAAACGGAGGAAAAAGAATTGCAGCATGACCACACCCCATTAGGAGATGCTCTCTCTCTCTCTCTCTCTCTCTCTCTCTCTCTTTCTCTCTCACTAGCACATGGGCCCGTAAGCAAAAAAATAAAAAGACAAAAAAAATATCAAAACAAAGCAGCAAAACGTGGTGATGGCTATTAATATACCCATTTTACAGATGCAGCACCTATGACCCCAAACCATGAAGCAGCCGCCCTTGGCCGGCTGAGGCAGCTTCCTCCTTCACTCCGGGGACTCCCTGCTCTAGGCATGTGAGACCCCCTTGTTTCCTAGTAACGCATCTGTGGTGTCAGGCGGTAATTGCTCCAGCAGTGAGAGGCAGTCGGCTTTGTGTCCTCGAGGATTTGGAGAAGCCCCGCTGCTCTGTCACTAGCACCAGGCTCGCCCCTTTAACAGGATTTCGGAAGCCTAATTATGCTTCCTGCTTTTACCGAGGAGGGGGAAGCCCTCGCTGATGTCCTGGGTCGGAGGAGCTGGAGAATCGGTGCTGCTGAAACAGCTTAAAAGGTTTCCAAGGACGGGTTCGGTGTGGTTGTGATGATGGAAACTAGAGGACCCCGGGCCCTGAAGCACCGCAGATGTGCTTCCGAGAGACAGCCTGGCCCGCTCCCAAATCCTACCCTGGTTGCTCCCAGCCCAGCAGGGAAATTGAGAGAAGTAAATGAATGAGAGTGACGGGCTGGATTATTCAGGGAAACAGAAAGGTATGCGATGACAGTGCAGGCCCGCCTCTCACCGGGAAAATGGGCGGTCCTGAGGTTGCAGCGATAGAGCAAGTTAAAGTTACTACAGTTCAGGTCCTTGTAAGCCCCCAAAGTCGTTAGCTTTTACTGTTGGTATCTCTATGATCATTATTAGAGTTATTTCAATGCATTATTTCTTCTTATCCTCACAATAACCCTGAGGAATGAAGCTATTTACAGATATATAAGAGGAAGTCAGAGAGGTGAATCCATTTGCTGAAGTCACAGAGCCAGTAGGACAAGAAAATTTTTCTTTTTTTTTTTTTACAGAGAGAGATTTTTGCTATATGGCATGGGTGTTGGCCAGAGAGACAGAGAGACAGAAAGTGAGAAATCACCCCCCAGAGAGGATGGCCATGCCGCAATTCCTTCTCCTCCATTCTCCTCTCGGGATCTTGGGCACCTATGTACACCCGCGTGGCATAAGTTTCAAGCCACTGGGTCTAGGACTCAAACTGCAGTCATCCATATGGGAGTCTAAAGCCTTAACTACTATGCCACCTGCGGGTCCGAGGGCCTAGGAATGAAAACCTAACAATGTTCACCTTAAAAACTCTCACCAGGGCCAGCCCATGCTATGGTTAAGGTGGCTGGATCCCACACGGCCAATTGTGTGGTTCGAGTCCTGGACCCAGTGACGTCAAAAACGCCAGGGGCCTGTGTGTGTATGCTCAAAATCCTGGAAAAAAAAAAAAGGAGACAGAAAGAAGGAGAAGGGATTGTGACCTGACTGTGTCCCAGGGGGTGTGCTTTCTACCCCTCCCTCCCTGTTTCTGTCTCTCTCTGGTGAATGCATCTGCCCTCTTGACAAAAACAAACAAACAAACAAAAAGCCCTCTCACCAGCCAAAAATAAATAAATAAATAGACAGCACCCTGCTAAAGTCCCCAGGCCTGAGCAGCTTTGTGTAGCTGCAGGAGGCCGGAGGTGGGCTTCGAAGGTGCCGTTACCTGTTGATGAGGGAGACCACTGCAGCGAAGACCTCCTGGTACAGGCCTGCAGCCATCCCCTCCACGCACTCCACACCTGTCATCTTGAGCGCTGGAGTCAGAAAGAGGACAGAATTGGCGTCCCATGGTCAGGACCTTATCCGGAGCTCAGGACATCACTTCAGAGAAGCAGCACTTCAGAAACACTCCCCTCCCCAGAACCATCCCTTTACTGCTGAGATTACAAACTCAAGTTCTTAGGACACAGCCCAGATATCTCACCAGGGCCTGTTGCATCCTGGGTCACCTGGCACCATCCCCTCTCAAAGGTTCTCCTGCTCATCCCTCAGGGCTCAGCCCAAGTGTCACCTCCTCGGGGAAGCCTTCCTTGACTGCCACACTGGTCATTAGGCCAATTTCTAGCTCTATCCTGCTTTTATATCACTTACCACAGACTAATTCTTACTTGCGTGGTTATTTTATTCATTTTTATTTCCCCCAAGAGGCTGGGGGTGCCCTAGAAATGAGGACTAGCCTTAGGTCTTTTGACCTTGAAATCCCCAGTGCCTCGCCCCTAGTAAACACTCAGGGAATGTCAGTGGTTCCTTCTGACTGGAGGAAAATTTGCCAATTTTATAACAGAAGCCAAAAAACATTTATATACCGGGCCTTAATAATCTTACTCCTAGGCTTCTAATAATATGCTCAGAGAGACAAAGACTTCTGGGTACACAGATTCTTTCAATTATTATTTTTTTAAGAGAGTTTTTTTTTGTTTGTTTTTTTTTTTTTTTTTTTTTTTTTTTTTTTTTTTGCTATAGAGCACACATGCTTGCTGGAAAAACAAAGAGAGACAAAGAGATGCAAAGTGAGAAATCAACCCCCAGAGGGGATGACCACACCACAATCCCTTCTCCTCTGTTCTCCTCTTAGGATCTTGGACAACACGCACACATGCCTGGCTTGAGTTTAAGCCACCAGGCCCAGGACTTGAACTGTGCTCAACTACATGGGAGTCCAGCGACGTAACCATTATACCATTTGCTGGTCCCTCAATTCTTAAGTTGTCAAAAATCATTTTTTGAAATAACTTGAATGTCTGACAACGGCACATGGTTACATATATTATAATTTGTAGTCCATTCATACCAAGGGAAGCTGAGAGTCAGGAATAGAAGGATATTGAATGAGAGGGAAAAGTGCCTGTGTAGAATGTTAGCGGAAATAAAGAGGCCTCCGAAACTACAATGGCAGTTATGGTGTCAATTCAGTTTAAGCAC